TGCTGAGCAAGTTGATCCTTTTAGATTTTTCTGACTCCAGCTCTTTGCACATTTCATCATAATACTTAGCTTTGTCTTTACAAACTGCTTGTTGGGATATTCTGTTTAGCTCCTTAATTTCTCGATTTTTCCCCCCTTCGCTTTGACTTTTTGGCATTCTTGTGCAATATTCAGTGTCATCTGACCTTCATTTTGATCTTTTCTGCTTCCTTTATCTTTTTAATGATCTTTTGTATTTTTCAAGATTATAGTTCTTGATGTCCTTCCATAGCTCATCAGGTCTTCCTTCATTAGTGTTCAAGGTCTGAAACCTGTTCTCAAGTGAGACAGACTCAGTGACAAATTTTGGTTCTTGTGGATTTGTATTTTTTTTAACATCAGCTTTCAAATGAGACCTTGATGATCTGTTCCACAGTCAGCACCTGGCCTAGTTATTACAGCTGATATTGAGCTTCCTCAAAAATTCTTTCCACAGATGTAATCAATCTGATTTTTGTGTAGATGATCAGGCGAGGTCCATGTGTACAGTCACTGTGTTTCTTAAGAAGTATTTGCAATAAATAAAGTATTGATTGACCAAAATTCTATTATTCTATTACCAGCCATATTTCTGTCACCAAGATGAAGTTTTCTGACTACTGATCATTCTTCCTGGTTCCCAACTTTTGCATTCCAGTCACTCATTATTATTAATGCATCTTGGTTGCATATTCAGTCGCTTTCCAACTGCAAAAATTTGTAGAAATCCTCCATTTCCTCCTCTTTGGCTCTAGTTGGTGCATATATTTGCATGACAGTGGTATTAATAGATAGGTCTGCCTTGTAACTGTATGGATATTGTCACTCACAACACGATATTGCAAGATTGATCTAGAAATGGTCTTTTTGACTATGAATATGACATTTCTTCTCACCTTTTCATGTCCTGCATAGTAAATCATGTGGTTGTCTGAATTAAAATGATCCATGGCTATCTCATTTCTCGAATGCCAAGTATGTCAATATTTATGGATTTCACTTCTTCATAAACAATGTCCTATTTTCCTAAATTCATACTTATCACATTCTACATTTTAAACAGCAGTGTCTGCTTGCAACTGTTCCTTTTCCTTTGCATTTCCCAATACAAGGGCTCTGCCTCGGTTGTCATATCTGCTAGCCTAATAGGGTATTTGAAGACATGTTATTTCGGAAGTAATAAACAACCCCTTCCCTGGCCTATCTTCCTTTAGATGCTCAGCTTTAAAGACTAAGGTGTGCCTGAACCAAGTTGGGATATTTTCCATTATTTCTGATCCATCTGAAAGTTAAACTATGGATAAGGATAACAGAAGAAGAATTGATATTTTCAATTAGTAAAGAATGCTGAATATCTCATTGACTTCCAAAAGAACAAGTCTGTCTTGGAGGAAGTGTAATGAGGGTGCTCCTTATGGCAAGGATGGTGAAACTTAATCTCAAATAGTTTAGGCATATGTTAAGAGTATCCAGTCCTTGGAAAAGGCATTTTCTTGGAAAAGGTGAAGGGTCATCAAGAGAGATTATGAACTGAATCATCAACGAACTGAATTGCTTTCAGTTATTCTCGCCAGTGGGAAATGAACTGTTGAGAAGTCATCTGGAAACATGGTAAAATTATAATTGATAACTAAACTTACAGAGATGTTTGGAGGAAATATTAACATGCATAAATGAGTAATATATATAATATGTATATGTGTGTATATATATGCACATGTATGCTATATATATGTATGTATATACACACACACAAACAACAAATTAGATGGCACAGTGAGAGAAAAACTAACTCACCAATGTAAGAAAATATGTAAAACATGGAAATTGTTTCTGTAGTTGAAAGAACCAAATGAGTTTCAGTACTGATAGATAGGTATTGGCAAGATGATCCGGGAAGCATCAAAAGAAGGTGAAAAGAATACACAGAATCACTCAGAAAGAATTGGTTGACACTGAAAAATTCCAGCAAGTACCATATGAACAGGAGCCAATGGTAATGATGGAAGAAGTTGGAACTTCCTTGAAGGTACTGGCAAACAATAAGGAGCTAAGAATCAAAGGGAATGCCATTTGACATGTTTCAATTACCAGCTGCAGCCCTGGACATGATCCTCAGTATATGCAGGAAATTTGAAGGACAGCTGTTTGGCCATCAGACTGGAAGAAATCCATATTTGTTCACATTTCTAAGAAAAGTGATCCAAAAGAATATGGATATTTTTAAGCAATACCATTAAGATCACATAAGTGAAATAGTAGTGAAGATCACCAAAATAGCTAGAACATTAACAGAGAACTGCCAGAAGTTCAAGCTGGATTTAGAGAGGTTGTGGCACTAAGAATATCATTAGTGTTATCAGATGGATCCTGGATGAAAGCAGAATACCAGAGGATTATCAGTGTTTTATTGACTGACAGCACATAACAACAACAACATGCATTTGACTGCATAAATCTTAAACTATGGCTAACATTCAGAAGATTAGGGATCGCAGAATACTTAATTAGGCTCATACAAACACGGTATCTAGGTCAAGAAACTTTGAACAGAGAGCAGTGGAATACTGCATGGTTTAAAATCCAGGAAAGGTAAATATTACAAGATTTATCCTTTCTCCAACCTATTCAGTCTATGGTGAGCAAAGCATTCATGAACTCACACGCTGTGAAGAAAAATGTGGCACCAGGGTCAGAGGAACATTCAACATGTGTTACACATATTATAAACCTTGGCTGCTGAAAGGAGGACTTTAAATGCTTGGCCTTCAATATAGATTGCTTTTCAGCATAAGACAAAACTACTCAGCACTGGAGTGATATGCAACATCATGACAGATCGAGAAAAGATTGAAATTGTCAACGATTTAATCTCACTTGGATCCATTGTCAATACACTTGGTACCAGCAGTTAGAAAATCAGGAGATTTAACTGCATTGGGTAAGTTCGCTGTCAGGGACCTCTTCAAGTACTGAGGAGTATCGTCAGTTTGAAGACTTAAGGTGCACCTGATTCAGGCCATGGTCTTTTTAATCACTCTGCCTCTGAAGATGGATGGTGAATAAAGATGAGAGAATAATTGACACCTTTGAGTTGTAGTGTTGGAGAAGAGTACTGAACTGTCAAAAGAACAAACATATTTTGGGGAAAGTGCAGCCAAAATGCTCTTTGGAAGCAAGGATGGCAAAGCTTCGCTTCACACATTTTGAACTTGTTGCTAAGATTGGATATTCCTTGGAAAAGGACATCATGCTTTGAAAGGAGAAGGATTAGTGAAAGTGGGAAAGACCCTCAGTGAGCTAGATTGACACACAGTGACTTCTGCATTGGCTCAAGTGTGTCAGAGATGATGAGAATGGCACAGGATAGGACAGGATTCCGATCTATTCAGAGCGTTGCTGTGAGTTGTTTTCAAGTAACACCTAACACCATCACCTTACGATAACAACCTCATGGTATAAGATCCTGCATCACCTGAAACTTGCCCATCTACCTCTCAATCTAAGTTCTGATATAACCACCTTATAAAACAACATTTTATTTCTTCAAAGCTTGTTATTACAGTCTGTAGTTCTTTATTCATTTGCTTACATGTTGTATCTCTCGGTCACATTAGTGTTATTTTATGAATATAGTTATCTTCTTGGTTTTGTTCACCACTCTATCCATACAAAAGATAGTAACAAGAATGTAATAGCACACAAAATAGCTCCCCATATGTTCTATTGAATGAATAAGTGAATTAAGTTATAAAAAATTTTGAAAACTTGGCATCAAAATGAAGTAGTATTCTTTATTGAAATTAAGGGAGTTGGCCACTTAATTATCAGTATTCTAAGTCTTAACAGTAACCATTTATAGCCATGGAGTATCATTAGAACAGTTTACTCTCTTTATTATCCTAAGGAGATACGACTAAAGCTCAGTGATTGAAATAGTCTCTAAAAAATACTCTACTCTTTGATATTTTGTGTTAAAAGAGCCATGATGGCACAGTGGTTGTTTAAGTAGTTGGCTGCTAATAGATTGATGGCTTGAAGTGGCCTACTAGCTCCTGATGGCCTCGTCTTGGCACTGCTAATCAAAAGGCTGTGTCTGGTGATTCAGATCAACTAACTGCTCTGAGTAGAAATAAATTTGATGACTCCTAACCTTGTCATCATGTTTATTCTTCTGCTTGTGAGGTCTTTTTTCCCTGTTCACTATAGTGCCATGATTTTGACTTGACTTTTGTTGGAAAATTCTACTCCAGACTGGCTACAAACCTAGGATCCAGCTCATTTGTAATTGGGACATTAACTTTTATACATACATTGAGCAAGGGTAAAGAATTAGTTGAGGTTTTTCTTTTTAAGAAAGCTACAAAGAGGAGGTGCTCCAGAATGGATTCATATGTCAAAAATGAAATTAAAGAAGGCAATACTAAGGGGAGCTCTGGTGGCCTAGTGGCAAGAAGCTGCACTGCAGTCCCAGAGATAGGCGGTTCAAATCCACCAGATGCTCTGCCGGAGAAGGAGGGGCAATCTCCTCCTGTATAAGTCAGATCTGATTTGATAGTACAGACACACACAAAATAAGAAAATAAAAATTAAAAAAAGAAGGCAATACTAAATAAAAGATAGCAAAGTATATTTCATAAAGTTTAATGGAAAAAGTCAAACCATCAATTTTAACATTGAGGTGTTTTAAACATTTTTCTATAGCTGAATTTTATAAAAGTGAAATTTAGAATTATGCCCTTAAATGATTTTGTATTGTTTTCTACATATTAAAATATGAAATTCTTTAACTTCTAGTGAGCTTTTAGTACACTACATTTCTACATGTCTTAGTTTGTACTAAACTCAAGTCTTACTATAATATCAATTCTTTTTAATTCAGAAGAACAGAGATGCATATGATTGAGTTTCAAGATAATGGTTTCACTTAAATGGTTTTGGTGTAAATAATTCAAATTTCTCTCCTTTTCTTTCCTGTTAAGGTTTCTGGACTCTGCTTATAATATCCTTAACGGCTGAATTCTCCTGTTGCAGCTTTTCCTGGACAGTGACATATTTTGATTCTTTTGAACCAGGAATGTTTCCTCCTACTCCTCTTTCACCTGCGAGGTTCAAGTACGTATTTTTGTCTTTCCTTTTTTTAACCCATTTTATTTATGTTTTATATATTAAAAATTATTTTATAAGGCTGCATCTTTGTGAGGTAAGATGTTAAATCTCTAGTCATTAATTAATATGTGAGGCATAAATAACAGTGTTTTTCAGTCTCTGATGTAAACCTGAATGGATACAGAATATATACACCTGTCTAGATAATAACAGAAGGATGGGCAGTCTCCTGCACATGATTAACTGTCTCCGAAAACCCTCTGGAGGGTCAGCTGTGGCTTGCTTCGGCTTGCTTCGGACTCAATGGCACATGTCAACCAATCTACCAATCATCTAGATAATAATAACAACAACATCTGAATAATGAATGCAGTGCTGTTTTTGAAAGAATTAAGTTAGAAATGACCTAGGAACTGAGGAGCTTTGATGAGGATTTGTCCTTTCAGGATGTAATTTCATGTAAAACTTATTTATGACATTAAGAAAAGTTAATGTCAGCAGTTTGAATGTTTTATTACACTTACACATCAATGATCAGATTTATAACAAATTAATAGATAGGCTTTTTCCTCAGGATTTAAAATTTCTGTAAGAAATAACAAGCATATATGGTTTTCAATTTTTTATGTGTAGGCCAGATTAGTTGCTTTCTGTAGTGGAATAGTTCTAACTTTCTTTAGTTTGTGTTTTCGCATTCAAGAACTTTCAGAAAATTTAGTAACCAGTACTGGAAATCATTTTATTTGTACAAGCAAAATGTAGGTTTTAAATAGAAATTTCCAAATAAGTATACTTAAGAGCTTATTCCTCCAGTGAATGGAATGAGTGCATGAGGATACTAGAAAAATAATGTTAAAGATTTAGATACTACTGTAGGATTACAGTCGTTTAGTAACAGTAGTATTATCAGCTCTAGTCCACGTCATTTAGTCGTTTATCCAAAAATGACTGGGACAGTACATCAGCAAAGAACTGCCAAAAGTGTAGGCTGGGCTTAGAAGGGGTCATGGTATTAGGGATATTGTAGCTAATGTTAGATGGATGTTGGCTGAAAGCAGGGAGTACCAGAGGACTGTCTATCTCTGTTTCATTGATTATGCAAAGGTGTTTCACTGTGTGGATCACAACAAACTGTGGCTGATTCTAAGAATGGGAATCCCAGAACACTTGATTGTGCTACTGAGAAACCTATACTTGGAACAGGAGGCAGTCATCAGAACAGAACAAGGAAACACTGCATGGTTCAAAATTGGGAAGGGTATATGCCAAAGATGTGTCCTATTTCCATACCTTTTCAACCTGTATGCAGAACAGATTATCCAGGAGGCTGGTCTGTATAAGGAGAAGTGTGACATCAGGATTGGCAGGAGGCTCATCAACAATCTGCCTTATGCAGATGACACAACCCTGCTTGCTGAAACTGAGGAGGACCTGAAGCACTTGCTGCAGAGGGTCAAGGAATGCAGCCTTCAATATGGATTGAGGCTCGATATCAAGAAGACAAAGATTCTCACCACTGAGCCAGTTGGCAGCATTAGGATGGATGGTGAAGAGATTGAGATTGTTAATAGCTTCAGTCTGCTTGGCTCTACAGTCAACACTCTTGGTACCAGCAGCCAGGAAATTAAAAGATATATTGCGATGGGAAAGTCTGCTGTCAGAGACCTCTCCAAAGTACTGAAGAGAAATGGTGTCACTCTGGAGACTAAGGTGCACCTGATCAGGCCATGGGCTTTGCAATCACTTGCTATGCGTCAGAGAGCTGGACAATGACTAGGGATGATAAAAAGATAATTAATGCCTTTTGGTTGTGTTGGAGAAGAATATTGAATATACCATGTACTGCTAAGAAAACAAACAGGTTCGTCCAGGAGAGGGTTAAACTAGGCTGCTCCATGGAGGCAAGGATTTTGAATCTTTGTCTGACATACTTTGGACATGTTTCAAGGAGAGGGACCAGTCTTTGGAGAAGGACATCATACTTGGGAGGGAAAGCGCAGGAGAGGAAAACCCTCTATGAGGTGGACTGGGGTAATTGGGGTAGGTGTGTCAGATGGTGAGATTGACACAGGCTAGAGGAAGGTTTAGGGCTGTTGTACATAGGGTACCGACTCGACGGCACATAACAAGTCCACATCACATAAATTTTATCTTTTTTTCCTTATAAATGCATTTTTTCAACCTGTTGGCTCCATTTCATTCAGTTGCAGTGTGCTTTTAAAAGTATTAACTTTCTCTCCTCCTGTACCAGTCAGATTTGATTTGACGGTACACTCACACAAAAATAAATAGATAGATAGATAGATAGATAGATAGTATTAACTTTCTGTATTTGAAACAGATTATATACTTGCTAGTATTTATCTTTTTTTCTGTGATGGATGATGATTTATCAGTAATCTAAACTGACTTGAGCATAGTAGAATTAACATAATAAAATTTGTGCTTGCTATTGTGTGCCACTGGACCAATTGGCAGCATCAGGATGGATGACGAAGAGATTGAGAGTGTTCACAGCTTCAGTTTGCTCGGCTCCACAGTCAACACTCTTGGCA